GGCAATATATAATTCACTCGATCGATGGATCCCCAGAGCACGGAGGAGAGGGTTTGGACGGAGCAAGAATTGGTTCTGCAAGCTGCCCGGATCATCAACCGATACGGCGCTTCTCCAACTTCTGTTGTTGCCTTGCCTTAGGAGTGAGGAATGTGACCACTGGCTTAGCTATGATATATTATTAAGCCTTTGCCACTGCATATGCATTATTTCTCTTTCAGTTTTTGCTGTTCTGTCTTAGACAAGTTCGTTGCATCTCTTTTTTCTCCATCTCAGAAATGCAAGGAAAATTACATTTTTCTAATTGATTTTCATTTTACCTTTTATTTTCCTCCCAATTTTTCTTCTTTTCAATGATAACCAAACATCAAAACTCTTGTCACTTCTTCTTTTTTCTCCTCTAAACTTAATTTTCGAGCAAATCATAGCAAAGGAAATATGGCTCAAGATAAAAGCAAGCAATATCACTAGACACAGCACGATCACCATCAAATTTATTTTTCTAATTGTTTACCATATATACATTCTAAACTTAAAAGAAAACAATTTATTAGTACAGAAATGTTAAATAATGGAAACTAGTGCCTACAAGTTTTTTCTCACACACCATATATAACAAGTTATTTTAAAAAAGCTAGTGCAATAATTGAGTTCATTTTGAAATAACCTATAGGTAGAATTATTTTGGCCAACCGGTAATACTTTAGATTGTTTTCATCACTTTTTCCTTTAAAAAATTCATGTACCTTCATTCATTGGAAAATGGACGAATGGCTTCTGCTGCCCCTTGTGCTTTGAGAAATGAGCACTAATGTCCCATCTTTATCAAACTTAAGTTGCACTCTCAATGCGTGAAACGTAAATCACGGGAGGAGATACGTGAAACGTTTTGATATCATGAATGTTTTATTTATAACACTTAAAATTTAAAGAGAAAGAATATTAGTATTTCACACTACACGAGACATTGAAACTATTTGCCCAAAACTGGCAGGATATGAACTCTAACCTAGTACGTGCAATGTAACAATTTCTCATTCTTTATATATATATATATATTCTTTATCGTTACAGTCAGCAGTAAAACTTGAAATTATCCTTTTAGCATTGTACTTCTTCCGTCCACCAATTTTTTTCTCATTTATTATTCACGATGTCAATTTTATTTATTTTGTATGCCTATCTTCGTTATCATTTGGTAAAATAATTTTGATTAAATAATATAATCATCTCACATCTAATTTTGTAAATCTTTTAAGAAACCATTCTTAAATATATACTCCATTCATTCCAATTTATATTACATGTTTCGGTTTATTATGTTTGACTAAAAAAATTTTCAAATCATTTTATATAAAAAATGTTGTAGAATTGTAAAATAAAAATACATATTAAAATGTTATATCAAAAGATCTACAAATATAGTGGTGACATGACTATTTTATTTAATCAAATGACTACTAAAAAAAGTGAAAGAAAGTGAATAAAATTTGATCATATAAATAATAAATAAGTAATAGGACAGAGGGGGTAAATTTTACCGTAACACGTGACAAGGAGAAAATTGATGAACGACGATTGTCTTAATATCATAAAGAACGTTATGAGCATGTTTGGGAATATGGTTAGAGATTAGCATTAACATTTTAGATAAAATTTTAACGATGCAGATTACTTTGAAATTGCTAACGCTAAACGCTGCTTATAGAATCATAGGTAGTCTTTTTAAAATGCTAATGTTATTCCCAAACAAGCGCTATGAAATTCAACTATTTTAAGGATAGTGATTACTGGGATAGTTATTTTGAAAAGGAAAATCTAAACTCCAAACGTTGTCTTAACAACCATGCTAGGGGTACACTAAAAGTGTACCCCAAAGAAATGCACTAACATTTTAACGGTTCACACTGTCAGAAAATGTTAGTTCAATTAAAATAAATTGCACTGACATTTTTTATCAATGTAAATCATCACACTAACATCACACTAGCACAAAATGTCGGTACATGCCTTTGTGATACAAAATAGGATTTAAATTATGTTGTATAAATAGCTTGATCCTTGTCTTCTTCAAGAGGAAACACACTAAGGGGTTGTTTGTTTCAGCCTCTTAATGATTTAGATGTCTGAATGGTTCAACACTTAATAGTTCAAACTGTTTGTTTTAGCCTCTTAATGGTTCAGATGTTTGAATGGTTTAGACATTTGCCTCCGAATGGTTAAGTATTATACAAAGTTTTTATGGTTAAGACCTCTTATTTGAATTGATCAGACATTTACCTCTAAATAGTTAAGCAATATACTAGCTCTTAATGATTCAGACCTCTTACTGGTTCAGCACTTAATGATTCATACCTCTTACGGTTTAACACTTACTATTTAGAGTTGACAAACAGTAGCTGCCCTATATTCATTGCCCCTCTCTTCCTCGAACTGAAATGATTTTTGCTGATATTCTGCGCTCCCATGGCTCCTACCTATCTACCGCGCGCGAACTGTAACATTTTCGTTTTTCCATCGTGTATGCAAAATTTACTTCGAAATTTCTGTTTTCCTACTCTGCTTGCTTGTGCGGACTGCTCATCTCCATCGCTCAATAAGATGCATGATTTTTTAGGGTTAATTTGATTCTTTATTTTTCTGGTTTTGTAATGCTTTAAGGCATCTTGTGTGGAATTCCTTGCAGGAAGGCAACAATTATTCTTTAAGTTCCTTGTTTGTGTTGAGTCGAACGAGCTTGCTGGGTTTGTATTAGTCTTCTATAGGGAAGAGTATATATATGCTTCACGCCCAATTGTAATGGCTGCAATTAAGTTTTCCAGATTGACAAGATCACTCAACCCATCTTTAAATTTTGCGAATGTCGTTGGTATTAGATCCTCATCACCTGCTTGTCTGAGTCATAATTATTGCCATGCGAGCGAGTCACGTAGTCCTACCCGGAATCATGCTTCTATAGGTTTTGGGGTAGTAGGTTTTAGCTCATATGTGAGTGGGTCATTGAGCAGTTATCCTTTAAGAGGTGTGTCTTTACTCTGGAGCAGTAGCCCTATATGGAGCAGCCGGTTGTATTCATCATCTGTAGGTGGTGAAGGGGGTACTCCTGGAGACTCAGGTTCTGCCATTTCTGGACTCAGTGGATCTAATATGGCTGGTACTGGTGGATCTGATATGGGTGAGTGGGGTATGAAGGCAAAAGAAGCCATCCAAAGTCTCGGGAATGCTGTGAGTTCCACAGGAGAGAAGGTCAGAGACGCTTCCAGTGACATAACACCTCACATACAGCAAATTCTTGATGCCAATCCATACTTGAGAGATGTTGTTGCTCCCGTTAGTGGTACTTTGGTGTGTACTTTACTGGCTTGGTTAGTGATGCCAAGGTTTCTGAGGAGGTTTCATAAGATGTCAACAGAAGGGCCTGCTGCTTTGTTATCTGAGAGCTCAATATTGAAGCCCGTACCTTATGAAAAAAGCATCTGGAGTGCTCTGGAAGACCCTGTTCGGTATCTCATCACTTTTATGGCCTTTACCCAAATGTTAGTAAAATCTCTATATGCCCGTGATATTATTCTTCCCCAGTTTAAGTCACTGTGGTTTATTTGTGCCAAATGTGTGATTAGTTATTTTGAATCTGTTCGTGCAGTGGTGCTATGGTGGCACCAACCAGCGTTGCATCACAGTACATTCTGCCAGCTTGGAGGAGTGCCACTATTCTTTCTTCTGTTTGGTTTCTACAAAGATGGAAGACGAATGTGATTAGCAGAACTTTAGCAGTAAAGACCTTTGAAGCGGGTGATCGAGACAGGTTGTTGACACTGGAGAAAGTATCTTCTGTTGGTTTATTTGCTATTGGATTGATGGGATTAGCTGAGGCATGTGGGGTACCAGTGCAATCCATTCTCACCGTGGGAGGTGTAGGGGGTGAGAAGCTTTCATTTCATCAATATAACATGGTAAAGCCTTGTATGACATTAACTTGGTTATTGGTATGCAGGAGTTGCTACTGCCTTTGCTGCTCGAGATGTCATTGGAAGTGTTTTAAGTGGGCTTTCGTTACAGTTTTCAAGGCCTTTTTCTATTGGAGATTTGATAAAAGTATGCCACATATTTGCCCCCTTAAATGCTGATAACTCTCTAAACTTTTTTTAATCAGTCACAGTAATAGTATTTTCATTTCTTATTTGGTACTTTTTTTTGCTCAGGAGATGCGTAATGGCTTTTCAATTGTATTCTTCACCTCTTATGATCTCGTAGTAAACTTTACCAAAGATGCATGACATTGCATGAAATGCTAGTGTCTTTTGATGATTGAATATTACAATAGGCTTATATATCCCTTATCTGTATTTGCAAATTTGTTGAATACTTTTGAGAAAGTGATTCAGGGTATTCGGTAGTTCCAATGTGACCAATTTATGAAGGCCATATGTTACCAACCCAACCCAATCATAATCCACAATATGAGGTACATCTCTCTTAGGAGTACAGTCTTAGGAGTTGAGACTTAAGATGTTGCTGCTAGAGGGTCAAGTGAAAAATAGTTAGTGTTGAAAAATGTTAAATTGGAGCTGCATTTGAAAATCACACCGTAAAATGAGAGGATAGGCTTACTAAGGTCCATATCGAATATGCAGAGTGGCTAGCAGTTCCTTGAAGTTTAGGAGTCAAGTGTTTGGGTAAATATAATAGTGATCAAAATGAAAGAAGATATTGATTGACTTATTTTATGATTTCATATGGAGTTATAACTTATCCTCTTCTAAAAATGAGTAATTAATTGCGCGAGCAGGCGGGATCTGTTGAAGGCCAAGTTGTAGAAATGGGGCTGACAGCAACGTCTCTGTTGACTGCAGAGAAGTTCCCAGTTATTGTTCCGAACTCCCTGTTTACTAGCCAGGTACCATGAATTATTATTATTATTATTGTTAAAAAATTGGCAGAGGTTGTTTTAGTGTTTGAGGGGGTGTTGGAGTTATATATATATATAGGTTATTGTGAACAAATCACGGGCTCAATGGAGGGCGATGGTGACCAAAGTTCCAATGCAAATTGATGACTTGGAGAAGATCCCACAAATATCAGAAGATATAAAGAACATGCTGAAATCCAATGCGAATGTGTTCTTGGAAAAGGAGGCGCCCTTTTGTTTCTTGTCTAATCTGGAAAGAGGATACGCAGAACTCACTCTCGGCTGCAACCTAAAACAAATGGTATGTAAAAACTAAGAGCTGATCCGCTTTTTTTTTTTAAATGTGATTTGTGGTTTGAATGTGGGCGTTGATTCATTCATTCATTCAGAGCAAAGAGAAGAAGTTTTCGACAGAGCAGGAATTGCTTCTGCAAGCAGCCCGGATCATCAAGCAACACGGCGCTTCTTTAGCCAACCCCTCTTCACTAAACATGTAGACACAGCTTTCTAAATATCATGTCAATTGACAATTAGGGATGTGACTATAAAGCCATGCCATTGTATTTTCTTAGATATTGGAGTATGTTTTATTTGGGGAAGGAGTAAAGAAAAGTTGTTTGCCCACACAGTACACTCCATTTGAGAGCACCACCACACACACACCAATCCACACACACACACCAATCCACACACACAAACGTGGCGACACCATTATACTCTAACATTACTCTTAACACTGTATTTCATTCGGGGAATTACGGAAGAAAGAAAAATGCTACAGAAAGGAAAAGAAAACTAAAAATCTTAGCGAGAAAATTATTTTATAATAAGTCTTTTGTGTGGTTATTGTAGGGAAAAAAAACAAAAACAAAAGAGGGTTAAATTCAATGGGTTGGAGGACCTGATTGGGAGGGTGGGGGGAGGACGAGGGAGGGAGAATTTTATTTTGTTGCATCTCCTCGTGAAAATGGAAGAAGAATCATTTTTCTTTTATTTTATTTTTTTCAATTTTATTTTGTGTTTTCTTTATTTTTTTTCCTTTTTGATTAACATTCCGTAATAAATTTGTTCTTGACTTATCGTTTTCTTTTATTATCCTTGATTAACATAAGGTAATGATATAGCTCAAGGGAGTCATATCTCAAAAATTTGCTGTTAACGTGAGAGAACCCTTAGCTATATAAACCCCGCATTAATCCCTCATTTGAGAGGTGTGGAATCCCTCTTTTAAGTTCGTATCGTTCGACCCCTCATAAGACCCAACGTCTTCATCGGTCACGGCTTGTTTCACTACGCCACCACTCTATGAGATACTATTTTAAATTTGTTGTGATATCATTGATACAGCACAAGAGACTAGAGAGTCGCATTTCAAAAACTAGTTATTATGGTTGGATAAGGTAAACTCCATACTTAATCCACCAATTAGACTTGTGTGGGATCTCTATTTTTAGTTTGTATCTTGTAATGGCAAGAACAATAGAAAAGGGGTAGTGTCAAGTGTGCATTTGCGGTAATGGCCACATGTGAGTGAGGTAGTCCCGACTAACTATTGGCACTTTCTTTTAGAGTCAACTTGAAATAATGATACTCCTCCACATCCACATAAAGCAATATCACATGATCACAATCAAATTTATTTAGGGTTCGTTTGGTACACGAAATTAACGGAATTGGAATTGAATTAAGAATTGAAATTTTATGAAATTGAATTCTCTAGTACCAGTTTATTTTTAGCACTATTAGTTCCAAATCTGCATATTTTTGTGATACCAAATCGTAAAATTAGAACTGTTGTTTCCAATTTCAATTCCATAATTTGAATTTCGTATACCAAACAGGGCGTTACACTCTAAAATATAAAGTAGAGGGGCTACTTGATATCCAACATTAATTGTGAGACATTATTTAGTTATGAGTATATTCTAATCTCACAAGACCTTTCTCTTTTTTTTACACTTTTGTCTAAGTGACTAATTAAGCATAAATTTTGAGCTAAAAAACCTTGTATATTATTATGACTCTTCCAAATAAAATGTCACATGTGCAGATTCTAGTGAATAACTCTCTAAACTTTAATAAATTGAGAAAACATTTATGCGCATATGTACTAATTACTCCCTTTGTCCCAATTTGTAGTGTCTGTTTCGGTTTATGATGTTTGACTGAAATTATTTTCAAATTATTTTATATGACAAATGGTATAGAGTAAAAAAATAAAAATTACATATTAAAATACTAGATCAAAAGATCTACAAAACTAGTAGTGACAATAGTATTTTACTTTATGAAATTGCTAACGAAAATAGAGAAAAAAAAAGTGAATGAAATTTAACTCTGTGAATAGTGAACATGCACTAGAAATTGGGACGGAGGAAGTATAATAGAGTTATTAATGTTAAGAAGCATAAATTCTTAAACAAATTTACACCACTTGAGAATTCAACTTTCATAATAACTATATATTCCATGTCTCTTCGTATTTATCTAATTTGATTATTTTAGTCTAATTAGACAAATTTTAATCATCAATCATACTCGATATTTATTACATACTCCATGTGCCACATATTTTTCTTCATGTTTTGATTTTAATTGTCAACATTTTTAAACATCGATCATAAATTAATAGATATATTAATATTCAAAGTGTTGTATTTGAAAAATAAACGAGAAGAAAGATATGAGACAAAGGGAGTATTAAACCAATGAAATCAATTTTTGAAAATTTTCAAAAAATTAATTGAGGTTTAAAGTTGAACCAGTTTGAGTCGAAAAATGTTAAAAAACCAAAAAATTAATAACGTAAAAAAATCCAAAAATGTAGAAAAACTCAAAAACATATGTTGTGCTTTCATTTTTATTTTATGCAATTTACATTTTATGTGTAACTTTAAGAAAATATACTCATTTTATTTTATGTAATTTGTGTGTAAACTTTCTATAACGGTCTCTAGTTAAATATTAAATACTTTGTACACTGTAATATTTAATGTTTTTAAATTTCTATAATGGATTACTCCGTATAATATTTATAAATAAATTTTGTAGAAATATATAGATCTTTTGAAATAATTTTTAATATATAATTTTTAGTTTTATAGATCTTTTGATATAATTTTTAATATATAATTTTTAGTTTTATACTCCCTCCGTCCCAAAAAGTCTTTCCTGTTTCATTTTTTGCGCATCCTATAAAACACTTCTACCGACATCTAAAATGCCTAAAATTTACAACATTTCTTCTTTAATGTGGGTAGAACTTATATTGAAAGTTTTTTTGGCATTCAAGGTGGGATAGAAGTGTTTATGAGATGCGCAAAAAATGAAACATGAAAGACTTTTTGGGACGGAGGGAGTACTTCATAGTAGATCTTTTGATTTAATTTTTAATATATAATTTTTAGTTTTGTAAATCTTTTGATATACTCCGTAATTTTTAAATATATAATTTTTATTTTTTAATTATATACTATTTTTTATATAAAATAATTTAAAAATATTTTCAATTAAACGGGCAATGAGAAAGATAATTTTTGGTGAGAATATAATTGTGGATTTGTAGCATGACTCTGGTTGGAATGTTGAGGAAAATGGTGAGTTTTGAGGTGGCCCACCTAAAATGGCTCGTGAACGCAGTAGCGGCGTCAAAAGGGATTCACGAGATTGATTAACAAAACAGAGAGCCACCCACCCCACCCCTCTGTCTTCTTCCTCTCTCTCTTTTCTCTCTCTCTCTTTGTTTTTGGTTAGAAATTCAAAGTGGATGAAATATATAATTAAACTCATAAAAAAAAAAGTTCAATCAATATGTAAATCGTTTGTAGATTATGATGATGGGAGGCTGGTGCCTGCCTGCCCAGAGAAGTATAAACTGAATTTCAGATATGATTTTCGATATGCAATAATTTTAGGGAAAAATCATCTAGAGTTTTTTTATGGCATTTATCTCCAAACTCTTCAAAAAAATTACAGTAATAGTCCCTTAAATTTCTTTTGAAAAACGTTGCATCAGTGGTTCTTCTGCGCCACGGTTTAGGAGTACGTTATTCACATGCTCGTCTAGTGCAATTGTGGATTCTTCTAAACTCAGATATCACACATGAGTTCTGCAATATTGATTTTCCAATCGTTACTTTCAATTCCATTCATTTCGAAAAGGGTGGCATGTTGTTGTTTAAGATCTTTGACTGGAGATATTTTTTATTCAATTTATTTGGAAATTGGTAATAAGTTAAAAAAATAAAATTTATATATTTAAAAACTACATAAAAATTTTACCAAACAAGATATTACAATACTATATTTTTTTCTCAAACGGATAGCGAAAATGGTCAAGAATGTGGTTGAAGTTTGCTCATTTGAATAGTAAACAGACAAGCTAAATTGGGGCAGTGGGAGTATATTTTAAATATCTTTAAAGCCCAGATAACTATTTCCGCTTTAGCTACCGATATCTGAATTCGAAACCTGAAGCATCATTCAATCAAGCTCTTCATCAATCGATCATTTTTTTCATTAATCAATGACATCTTCATCAAGTTCCAACAAGTATATAGATAAACGTGTGATTAACGCGTTCCAAGCAAATTGGGATCATTAAAATTCTCCACCTCAAGGGAATCAAAGCTTACCACTACAAAAATCCCAACCACTTGACCTTAACCAACTATTGTGTCTATAAAACGCAGCCCACCCACTCCTCTGCTTACACCACTAAACAAAATTATAGTAACTTCCCACTCTCCTCATCAAGTCTCTCAACTTCCATCACTGCGTTTAATTTCTTCCTTCTGCATAATTAATAATGGCATTAAGGCTACAAGTAAGTCACTCACTCACACCTGTTTGATATGTGCATGATGATATGCATGCATGCAACCATTAATCTCTCACAAGTTGAGCTTTAAATTTTGCAGTTGCAGATGAGGGGGGTAGTGATGATATTGGCCGTATTATTGGGACTGTGTTTGGGCAGCAAAAGAGGAGTGGTCCAGGGAAGAGGAAGAAGAAGATTGATGGTGGGTGATGATTTGGAGTACTCATCCATAAGCAGCTGCAGGGCACACAGCGCATCGATCGCGGATTTTGGAGGGGTGGGAGATGGGAAGATGCTGAACACAAAAGCGTTTCAGGAGGCGGTGAACGAGTTGGGGCAGTACGGGGAGCAGGGCGGGTCCCTGCTCTACGTCCCCCCAGGGGACTGGCTCACCGCCCCCTTCAACCTCACCGCCAGCCACTTCACCCTGTTCCTGGACCGGGACGCCCGGCTACTCGCCTCCCAGGACATTAGCGGCTGGGGGGTGGTGGACCCCTTGCCCTCCTACGGCCACGGGAGGGATGCCGCCGGCGGGCGATACATCAGTCTCATTTTCGCCTCAAACCTCACCGATATCGTCATTACAGGGAACAATGGGACAATAGACGGGCAGGGGGATGTTTGGTGGCAGCAGTTTCACAAGAAGAAGCTGAAATACACAAGGCCTTACTTGATTGAAATCATGCACTCTCATCTTGTCCACATCTCTAACTTGACCCTTCTTAATTCCCCTACTTGGAATGTTCATCCCGTTTACTGCAGGTATCTTTTTTCTTCCTGTTGTAATAATGCTTTGAATCAGACCCTTTACAGCAGAAAGAACGGGTGTATTAATTATTTGTTCTCGCCCCTCCATAATAAAACTGCTCTCCCTCTTCCCCGTGGACTAGCCAATTTATTGGTGAACCACGTAAATCTGTTGTCGTGTTTTTTGTGTTCACCAATATATATTTAATTTCAGCAATGTGATTATTCAAGGCCTCACTATTCTAGCACCAGTAACATCTCCAAACACAGATGGAATCAACCCAGGTTAATTTTAATTACACCCATCCAATCCTTTTTGGAAATTAAACTAACAAGTGAATAGCAAGTAACCTCCGGGTGGTTCACTTATTTGGTTTTTGGTTTCAGATTCTTGTACGAATGTTAGGATAGAGGACAACTACATAGTATCCGGAGACGACTGCGTGGCGGTCAAGAGCGGTTGGGACGAGTACGAGATACGGTACGGCATGCCGACGAGGCAGCTCGTCATCCGGCGCCTCACCTGCATCTCCCCCTACAGCGCCGCGATCGCGCTGGGGAGCGAGATGTCGGGTGGGATCGAGGACGTCAGGGCCTCGGACATCACGGCCATCAACACGGAGTCCGGGGTGAGGATCAAGACCGGGCCCGGCCGGGGGGGCTTCGTCAGGGACGTTTTCGTCAAAGGGATGACGCTCCACAGCATGAAGTGGGTGTTCTGGATGACCGGGAACTACGGGTCCCACGCGGACAACAACTACGACCCCAACGCCATGCCGGTGATTACAGGGATCAACTACCGGGACGTGGTGGCCGACGACGTCAAGATGGCCGCCCGGCTCGAGGGGATCCCGGGGGACGCATTCACCGGGATATGCATGTCCAATGTGACCATAGGGTTGGCAGTGAAGGCCAAGAAGTACCCGTGGACCTGCACTGATGTGCAGGGGATCACCAGTGGGGTGGTCCCTAAACCCTGTGAGGCACTGCCTGATCAGGGTGGCCCGCCGGACTCCGGGATGTGCGATTTTCCTTCAGAAAAACTTCAGGTCGACAACATAGAGCTCCAGATGTGTTCTTACACCAAACATTACTGAGATTCTCAATCAGATAAAACAACATATGTAAACAAAATATTATTATTTGCTTGATGATGAAATGGAATGCTTAATTTGCAGCTTCGGTTTTTTTTAAAAAAAAACACCAACACAACTTGATAATGACAATATTAACCCCAGAATGTGTATGTATGTATGTATCTATGTATACATACACATGACGATGCTCATATAATATTCAGTTGTTTGTAGTAGTAGGAGGAGGATCTGGATTGAACATTACAGACTCCCTCCAGATGAGCTCTTTAATGTTTTCTTCAGTGAAGGATGGCTGCTCAAAGTCAAAACTGAAAGGCTTTGGGCAGACGGGCTCCTCGTTAATGTCGTGGAGAGGCGCCAAGTATGGATGGCACAGTGCCTCGTCAACTGCAACCAAACCGAGACACGAAACGTGTATATAATATTGCCCGTACACTAAAATGCATTTTCTTGTTTTTGAAATATTAACTAAATAAATGTTTCAGCACCTAAATTAAATAAATGGTTTGAGTTTGGAAATATACTTTGTTTGTGGTAAAAAGCAGAGGGGGCACCTGTAATACGGCGACTAGGATCAAAGACGAGCATTCTTTCAAGCAAATCCACTGCTCCGGGAGAAGAATTGGGGAATCTTCTAGAAAATGGCTCCCTTGGATACTGCGGAAGTTGTTTCACATATCGTCGAGCATTATCACTACGAAGAAATCCAAGGCTAGCATCATCCGGAGATCCTATCAGCTATTCGAAATGGAAGAAAATGGTCATAATAAAGCTCGAGTATTCAATTTGCATATATAACACGCTAATGATATTTAGTATAGTACCTGTGTGACGAGTTTTAACTGGTGAACGTGATTTATTCCGGGAAAAAGGGGTTGCCTTGTCAGAATTTCACCAAGCATGCAGCCTACAGACCAAATGTCTATTGCGGCGGTGTACCTTGAACAGTTCAAGAGCAGTTCTGGTGCACGTTACCAGCGAGTCACAACATATTCAGTCATGATGTCTGTCTCAGATTTTGTCCTCGCAAGCCCAAAGTCTCCAAGCTTCAGGTCACAATTAGCATTCAGAAGCAAATTGCTGGGCTTCAGATCTCGGTGCAACACATTTGCAGAATGAATGTACTTGAGCCCGCGCAATATTTGGTAAAGGAAGTACTGATAATAACAATAATAATACAGCAGCAATGTAGAAGTCAAAGTCAATGCAGATGATGATGGAGATGATAAAATGATGCGATTTATAGGAAAAACGGGTCGTACCCGACAGTGATCATCATCCAATGGCTGGTTAGATCGAATAATTTGATTAAGATCAGTATCCATTAGCTCATAAACAATGTACACATCATTGAAGTTTTCCTTCTGAGGAGGCCTTATGATGTCTTTAATCATAATTACCTAACCATAAAACAGAAAGTTAGTTGCAATCACAAAGCAGATGAACTGCTTGCTTGCTGCAGATCAGATTATGTATTTTCAGTTCCCAAAATTAAACCATATATACTCAAACACTAAAGATCACTGCAGAGAAACATACATACATACATTATCATGATCCATGTGGCTGAGGATTTTTATTTCCCGTAATGTCCTTTTCGGGTCGATACCATCGTCAAACGCATTCCCAATCTTCTTTATGGCAACTTCCTCATTTGTGACAGAGTTCATAGCCGCGCTGCATAAAAATGAACGTGCACAGTGAATCTTGATTGCAAAAACAAATCTTTTTAAAACAAAGACCATCTTTTTTTGCAAAAACATAATTCCAGTATTTGTCATAAATGGAGTGGTTTTGCCAAACTTACTAAAAATGATTCACACCTCAATCAAACTATCTAACCACTAGGTCTCATTTGGAAAGGTACTCAATTGCTGGAATTCTCATCATTCCAAACATGCTTTTCAACTAATTGCAGGTCATTCGAGTCTCACTGATTCATTTAATCCAACCAACCAAGTCAATTCAAACTGGGCCTAACATTCTAGTAAACAAAATCCAATCTTGAAAACAACATGCAGAAGAACAGCATAAAATATGAAATCCAAATTGACAAGAACACAATCACGATGATAAAATCACTGTTAAATATATTCTATATTTAATGTAAATATATTGTTTCCTATTATTCTCTCCTACCTTGTATAGGAATAGGAATCCTATGTATATATAAACACATGTACTCCCACATATTCAATCAATGAAAATAATCTTTCTACAATCAGAAACAAGAAAACACAGAAAAGATGAGAAATGGGAAGGAAATTGAGCTAACCAGACGACGCCAAAAGCGCCGCGTCCGACGGGCCTGAGGGGGACATACTTGATACTTTCTGGAAACTTTGAAAAGGTTTCCGTATATATTGTACTGTACGCTCCAAGTATATATGGGAAAGCATGTGCGCCTCTCATTTTATTCTTCCAGTCGTGTTTCAATGTTTCCGTTTCAACTGTTACATACAGACTTATGGCAGTCCCATGTTCCAAGTATTAATGGTTTTAAATTTTATATGTTACTGTTGGATGATTTCTCTCATTATCTTTGGATTTTTCCTTTAAAACATAAAAGTAATGCTTTTAATCATTTAACCTCATTTGTAGTATATGTCAAAAATCAATTTAACAAAACAATAAAAGCAGTTCAATGTGATAATGGAATAGAATACCGTAACTCTCCACTCAAAAATATTTTTGACTCCATAGGTATCCTCTTTCGTTTCTCGTGTCCTCACACCAGCCAGCAGAATGGCCGAGTTGAGCGCACCATTCGTACCATTAACAACTCGTTCTGTTCTCTCCTCTTTCAAGCCCAGCTTCCCCCCACTTTCTGGGTCGAGGCCCTCCACATGACAACACATATTTTTAACATCCTTCCCACCACCACCTTACAAAATAAAACCCCCCACGCCACCCTCTTTAATTCCCCACCTTCCTACGACCACCTTCGCGTCTTCGGTTGCTTGTGTTACCCCAATATTTCCGCCACCGCCCCTCACAAACTAGCTCCACGCTCCGCCCGTTGCATTTTCCTCGGCTATCCCTCTAACCAACGCGGCTTCCGCTGCCTCGATCTTGACACTCACAAAATCATTATATCCCGCCACGTCGTGTTCGATGAATCATGCTTCTCTTACGATCAACCCGTTTCCCCCCA